CCCCCCCCCCCCCCCGGTAGGCTCTTCGTCTGGGGTGGATGTGATGAATGCAGAGTGTTTCGGATTTCCGGTCAGCAGCAGCTACGACCACAGCGGTTGTAGGAAGGCTGAATGCTCTGACAGCCGTAGGTCCTGTAAAGTGTGTATCACGTGGGTGTGTTTTCGAATCAGACTTGAAGCGTGTACATTTCGTTTGATTAAACAATTTAATTGAACAATTCAATAGACATTTTTCTAGAGCATATCACAAAAGGGGATTAATGACTAATTATGTGGACCATTTGCGCCCTCAGAGGATCCACACCGCTACCAGAATTAAGAAGAGGTGTGTTTATTAATTGCCAGTCGTACGAGAGATGTTGTAAGTTCTTTTGCACTCTTAGGTTATTGTTGGAAAATTTGTCACGTCTCAGTTTGAATGTGGTCTGGTCGAAAGTACTTCCTTAAAAGCAGACTCGCAAGCTGTCGTGGTGTTATAAACAACAGGTGAAAATTCACTAAAAAATCCTTAGATTTTTTCATAAAACAAGTTTTAGATAATTACTTGACCATATAGCGAGATCACACAAATTGGTTGTTATCCGGGAAACATTCTTTAAAAGGAACTTACTAGTTGCCATCGCAATAGAGAAAAATACTACAAGGAGCGGTAGCTGTAAATTTCACAGATGCTAAAAATGTACTCGTATTCCATATTTCCAATATATTTTTTTGTCGCATGTGATCGTATCATGCGGCTAATTCTTTCTGCTTTTATGGTTCTGCATAAGAGGTATCTTTCTGGTACAAAACTGGCAGCAGAACATGCGCTAGTGAGAAAGAACTGCTTTATGTCCAGTTGCTCTGGCGCGACGGGTACAGAGTGCTCCAACTGCAGTCCTGTCCTATTAGTACTTTGGGAAAACGGAACAATAACATTCGGAAAAATTGTAAGAAAGCCGAATGCCCTGATCTACAACTGCCTTTAGTTCCTGAGAGCGACTAAAGAGTTGCTTGTAGAAAGGCACGACTACAGGCGTTGGTGTCTTTTAAAAAATCTGCGTTCGTGGAGAAAGGTGACTGTATAGAGGAGCATAAATTCTTTTTTAAGGAGGTCTAGAGTTTTTAAAAGCTAAAACATTTTTTGGCAACTCGATGTCTGTATAAAAACTCTATTCGTGAATATTCAACTTTTGAACTGCTTTTTGATTTAAAAATGACTCACTACTTGCTGACGAAGTAGTGCAGTAGTTCTGGCAACACGTAAAACTATTTTTACCAACTACCCAGCTTTTTGACAGTTCTCTGAACCGTGCGTACAGTTTGCTTACTGTAATTGCCTGCAAATATCCATTTCTGACTGCTGCTGATGAATGGTTTCTTTCGACGATCTATTTGAAATGCACAAGTTCTTGTCTACATACTTTCGTGGATTTCCTATCCGGAACAATCTTCCCACGCCTTTTATTACGAACTAGCGCTTATTTCCATTGCGAAATTACTAACCAACTTTATATCCTCGCATCCTTTTACGTCAAAAATTTCTGACTGGTCAGTAAACGATAACTCTGTCCATTCATATGCTCACGACTGGGACAGATTGTTTCGGAATTTTTCGATAACATCAGTATTTGAATCTATTCAGTAAGTTTTTATGAGCATCCCAAAATGGGCGAATTTCAAGCAAATTTTAGGTACATTAATCGTGCTTCCGTTCGTAAACGAAATTGCTTATGTGACTAACGCAAGAGGTCCAGTTTGAATTTTTCTATTCATGTACAACCGCTTTGGCCTTCGGTAACGCTTATTCATCCATTCTCATTGCGATTATTAATTCGCTGGTGCTTCAAAGGTTTTCAAGTCGGTCCTTCTTGGGGTAACCACTGGTGTAGTGGCCTAAAACTGATAAACTCCCCTCAGGCGGTGGGATGATTGACAGATTGAGGTAAAAGGTAGCACCAATCACTGGAACAATCTGGCACTCTACTTGGTATTTTGAATTTGTGATTGTTTTTTTGAGCCTATTCCTGGTGTGTATGCAGCTACTGTTAAGAGGCATTTCCATCACCTACGTTTTCATGCAGTTCACGGAATCGAGACTGGGGTTCGAGTTGCGAAGCGCGCTTTTTATCTCTTACTCTACGCCTTTTTCTGAACTTTTTTTCCATTTACCACCATTTGCAGTATTTCCAGTCTTGTTTCCTTATTACTTAAGGTCAACCTCTCTGAGATAGGTTAAGAGAACAGATTTTTAACAGGGCTTTACCTGCCTCCTTCGAGTCGGTTACATTGGTCGCTAAATCTCATCGTCAAATGTCTTGTTGGCTGGCCGAGTTGGTTGCTTTGTTGTGTCGGGGTTTAATAAAGGAATTCAGACTCACAAATGACATAAATGCTTGAATTATCCCTTTTTCCAAATTTTCTCCCAAAGTGTTATTATCAAATGCTGGCCGCGAGTTAGAATACGGGTTCAAAATGTTTCTTCGTGGTTCACATTCATTGAACCGGAAATCAACCATCGACGTGGAGTGCTGGATGGAATTTGACCCTTAACTATCCGTGCGCGCTACCAGTGTAGCTAGTAGTGTCTGAGCGGCTATTTTAGTAGTAAACGTATATTTAACGCCAAAGCGTTTGCAAATAAGTGCAAAGTGGAACTTGCCAATCTAGATGCTGGGGGTATTTTTAGCCCAGTGAAGTTGGACGTGGCGTCATTTTCGGTGATAGAAGCGGAAGTCGCTTCAAGAAAAGAGGACTAAGAATACCAGCCTAGAGGTTTAATGCTGATTCCCTCTAGCCTTTCCTTCCCCTCATCTTCCAGTGCCGATGGAAGCGCTGACCACGGACGTGGCCGCATTAGCGGCGGGCATGGCGGAAGCGGACAAGGAGCTGATTGCGGCGGGCCCGAACGCGCCTCAACGCCTCGTCACCTTCGTGCGCGATCAACAACCCCGAGTGACCGAATTTCAGCGCAAGGCCGAGACGGCACGGGCTATATTCGCCCAGACCACCGAGTGGTTCGGCGAGGCACAAAACAAACCCAGTCCCGAGACCTTCTTTACCTGCATTGTCAAGTTCGTTCAGCAGTTCAAGGCGAGTTTCAAACCACCTCTTCTTCAGTCTTACTCAATCCTGTTCTATTCGCGTGTCGTGCATATTTACCATCGTCATGGTGGAGTTTGATTTTAACTTAACTTTTATTATCTTAGAAGATTTTCCCTTACAAGTGCAATTATTTCACAGATAACGATCCACTTTTTAATTCTGTTAATACGTTTGTTACCCAGAGTTCGTTTGTTGACATCGATAGCTGCGCCATCAAAGTGACCAACTTAATTGATGCTGAGGAACTTAAAACTGCTGTTGGCTTTCGACAAAAACATCTTGCATCGACTTTGTTTTGGAAACTCGACCAGCTTGTTTGCGATATGACTTGTTGCAATCAATTTTTATAAACTGATAAGGAACTCTTCTTTTCATTTTTAATGTCAGATCTAAATAAGAAAACCTATGACAGTTAAGTTGAAATGGAATGCTGTTGTCTTCCGAACACTTCTCAAATGTGTGCTCTTTTGTTCACGAGGTCGGTTAGCAATCATAACTTTCTTCACAAAAGTACTTTTGCTTTCCATCAACAAAAGAAGCTTGTAAAGAATACCCTGCGCTAGTCAGAGTCCAGCTTCGAGGCACCGAATGGGTGGATTAACATGAGAAAAAAAACTGGCAACCCATTTGATGAGCTTGAGCAACAGGGCGAGTGTATCTGCGGAGAGTTAAAAACACGATTGTCTTGTTACATCTGCATGTAAGTGATGGCCCACAGAATGTAGTTCTATCGTTGTCTACTGATTGCCTACTTGTTAATGTGAAATGCAGTCACGGCATTCATTTCACTCTCGAGATTCGCTGTTAATGGCTGCCGTTAAATTTGTGCTCTCATTCCACTTTGTCTTGTGGAAGATGAGTTCATTTTTTGCGCCCTCTAAGTCCCCACATCCCATGCTGCTGTTTAAGTGTGAAGCAATGATTGTGTCAGGAATGGACAACCCAAGCCGCCACCCGATGCAACATTCGTCTTTGTTTGTTGGTTTTGTTGAATTCTAACTGATCGTTGAATTCATATCAGAGTTTCGTTCAACGTGTACTGAGCCATTATTCTCAAAAAGCTAATTTGTTTGCCGGTATTGTCGTAATGGCGTCCAAAAGGAAAAATCCCTTCTTGGTTTTTGTTTTTCATTTTTTTTTTAATTTCTGGTCATCAGGAAAGCTGGCGTCACTTCGGAACACTTTAGCCACACTACGTGGTAACCATGGCAATCGGAACTCCGGAAATCGCATTCTTTTTTTGCAGTTTTCATCTTTAACAAGGATCCGGCTTGTCCATTGTAAACAGGAAATTTGTTATCTTCCTGGTGCTGGTTTCCTAACAAGATGCGCTTTATCCTATACCAAGTAATTTTTTGATCTTCAGATGTCTGGATGGTGTATATATCCTTGCTGTTCGTTGCTGTAACAGTTACTGGTGAAATCGTGTTCATCTGCGCTTGAAAAACAGGGCAACTATGCTGGTTTGCGAATGCCTTTCGTTACATTCATGACATACTAAGCATACTTTACAGTTAGCATTATTGTCTTCTACGGGATACTTACCCATTCGTGCTGGTCACAAGTAGTTCCTTTGATCTTCATTCTCTGGCATACTTTTAGCGCGATACGAAGAATAGTTCTTCCGTGGCCCACGCAAAATCAGTGCAATTAATTGAGTCTACTTTTTACTAACTGATTTCGTTGGTGCCTTTTTACAGCCCAAAACGAAATTGAAACCTCTGGTACTTATTCCACTCGGCTCCACTAGACTCACCACATGTTTCAAAAAATTGGCTTTTAAGTAATTTTTCGCTCAATTGGACGTCCTGAAATTACACTGTTTCTGCCTAATAGCATGGAGACGGTTTTATTGGGCTTGATGTCTTTTAAGTATTGCAGAATCTTGCAATTGTGCATTCCGTAAATTAGATACACTTTTTTATCAAAGAAATCGACAATTTAAATTAGTCAGCGACGTCTAGAAACGTTTTCGGTGGTGAATTCGTAGATAGATGATCTATCAAATTCTTGCAATTACTGTTAGTTTTTGGGATTCAGTTGGATTCTCTCCAAACGAAGACTTGGCCTGCGTAGAAATATGAAAATTAATCCTAACTTCTCCGGTGGCTGTCTGTCGGTCCGTCTCTCTCTGTCTGTCTGTCTCGGACCTGGTCATTTTTTTCGTGCTATAATTAAACACTTGTCCTCTTGATTGCTAGACTCATAGGAAATCTTATATTTTACGTAAAACTATCAAATTGACTGTTCATCCGCGGTCGAAACGTAAGCTGCTTTCACAACTTTATAAACTATTCTTTTGCATACGACAGGATTTTGTGTCAGCTCAAAACCGCAAAGTTTATTTCCCTGATAAATGAAACTTTGAACCTGGATCTGAACTGCGGTTAGGTATTAAAAAGCTGTGAAATTAAGTAACTCTCCACTTGTTGCATATTTCGTTTGTTTAAAACGATTTTTCAATGATTGTCAGTGTCCTGATGACAGGTATGTAAAATCCTGTTACCTTGACACTTATTTGCAAACAGAAATTTATTTTATAGCCACTTTTAATCTATGCAAGGGCGATTCCACTCGAAGCCCCTATTTTGATTTTGCCTTGTTGTTACTAAAAATCCGACTGAATTTAAGTCGTCCCAGAGAGCCTCGGCTACCCACAGACCTGCGGAATCTACTCCCTTATTCAAAGCTCTATTGAAATCCCAAGCATACAAGTTGCCAGATCCGCGGCGGGCCATTGTTTAGCACACGCCGAATGGTTTATGCGATAGGTGAGGGTCCGAAGTTGATTCATTTCATTGTTGGGGCTATCGTTCGAAACAATTCGTCATAGTCCACAGCCAAATGGAGTGCTACATTCGTGGCAGAACCTAGCGCCGCTCAAGCCAAGTAACTTTTATGGTCAACAGAGGCTCACACTCCGCCTCTTATCATCGTGCCTGATCACCCTGATTGTGCATGATTAGCGTAATTCTCACTATCGTTTTTTTTTGACGCCACAGAAAGTTCAGACGGAGTTGGAGAAGCGCCGTAGGGCGGAGGAAGCGCAGGAGCTGCGGAAGCAGTCTGAGGCATCACTCTGCAACGGGAACGCCTCCTCACGAAACTCATCCTCCATCGCTCCCGGTGCTGTACCCTCTCGACAGCGTAGACCCAAGGATGTGAGTCCCCCCCCCCCCTCCTTGTTAAGCCCGATTATATCGCCATCACTGCCTTCTGTTTGTGACCTAATAGGCTGGAGCTCTGGTTAACTGAATGCGCATTATTTACCAAAAGGTGTACAAGTCTGCTGCAGAAAGCAGGATGATGCCTTAAATTGGTGAAGATTTTTATTTCCGTTGCCTCTTTTACTGGAATGAGCTCAGGTTTGACTTATTAATGCGGTCAGAAAATCTGCTTTCTCGAAACCGTAAAGCATATATTATGATTAATACGAATGTTGTTAGTGCGGCTGCTAGTTGAATGAATGCAGATGTGATTTGTTACTGAGATCAAAAAGTACTAAGAATAATGGATTTTGTGTATTATTTTCTCAAAAAGGCTGCAGTAGACATGAAGGTCTTTCTATGGAGCTTTCTTTTGGCAGACTTGCTTAGTAGGGAAGAAAACCGCGACCACGGAGTTGAGGTGGGGATGAGTTTGCACGGCCATATTGTGGAAATTTCTAGAACGAAATTTACAGAATGCTTCGTATAGATTTATTCCACACCCAATTAACAAAGAATTCCAAATACGATGTAAATCCGGATAATTTTTGCTCACAGTGCTAGGAAACGTATCTTTATTTTACAGGATCGAAATAATCCCAGCATTTACCCAGTTAAAATGTAATATTCACTGATACTTTCTGATCACAGTTTGGAAGGACTAATTCTTGTTTTATGTTCTCGTAGAAACAGATTAGATGAGTCGAAAATAATAATGGAGGAGTCTGCTTCATTAAAAAGATTATTTTAAAGGGGACAATATTGCCGTTGTGTCTCCTGTGGTACCCCTGTAGCATTATTATTAGCACACAGTAGGGTTGGTGACGCTGCAGCACAATTGTTTTTTAAACTGAACTCCGTACCGCCGGCCTGAAGACTGAAGAGGTTCGCCGTATTGACTATACACAGAACCTGTTGTCATCCTCATCGACTCAGATCTGATGTATTTGTCATTCTGTAATTTTACCTCTCGAAGCTGCCTTCCGATAACTATTTCTGGTAGTGCATTTGCTACTGTTTCGTGTCTAGGATATCTGTCTACCAATAGTTGCTCTCCACTTTTTGTCTGATATGATCGGCTAAATGCCTAGCTGTAGTTAAATTAGGACCTACCGCAACATCAAAAAAGATTACATATTTTTCAAACTTAATTCTACTTTGAAAGCTCTAGATATCGCAGAATTGTTATTTACATCCACTTGACAGTTCTTCCAATGTTGCCGTTAGAGTGGCTGTCGATCTCGTCACGAAACTTTCGTGAACCTTGACAAATGTTTATTCTTAAATTCGATCTTGTCGTTACCACAATCAACAATTCCCGTGGTCACAAATGTCGCATCAGTCGTGTTTTTTTTCTCCCCATCTTATTGGAGAGGTCTTGGTGCACGATGGTCTGTGATTCACCGTTTTTTTCATGTAAAATCTATGCCGGTCAGCAGATTCAAACTAATGTCAAGTTTTTTATCAAACGAAACAATTTTTTCGGTCAGCGGGTACTGTCAAGCCCACCAAATCTGTAATTCTTATTTCCAACGCAAGATTTCCATAATGGGCTAGAATCTTTTTACCTTTTCACTGCGCTACGCCAGCAATGGCTGAATTTATTTTACGGTTGATACTTAGTCAGATAAATAAGATCTCTTTTTAAATTTCATTTACCAGAGCGAGGATCCCGTGGATATACAGGTTTGTTTTCATTTTTCTTGAGTTTCTTCCGCGGTTCCGTTTACTACACACGGGTAAATTGTTACCTACTTGAGATTGCTGATTTTACGCTTGCTATTCTCACATCTCTTACTAGCTCATTCAATTTTGTCTAATTCTAATTCCATATCCAATTTGCATCTTTTGTTTGCCAATTTCTTTTTAGTGTGCGTGTGCCGAGGTTTTAAGATTAAAACGCCTCCCACATACTGAATTCGTTGCCAGTAGTAAAGTGCACTTTTCCTTTTAGCGAGTGCTCGCACAAGAGGCATGGCTGGCAAAGCGTCGAATTCAAAATAGAACCAGGCAAATCAACGGCGACGGTATGATGGACGAAATTCTAGCAGGTGGAGTGCTCACTCATTAATTTTAATTTGGTGAAATTTAAATTAAATTTTGGTAGCTCTGGCACCATCCACCGGATTAAGAAGCAGAAGACAAAATTGTTGAAATGAATTAAGTATTTTTGTGAGGTTTTTGTTGTGTACGCAGGTTTCAAGTCATCAAGGCACTTTGTAAGACACCTCACTGCCATTCTGGAATTGCCATCGCAGAGCGCCCCCTCACTAGCTCCTCTCTAACCGATTTGTATCATTTTTTTGCCCTCTTTTTGCCTCAAACTACTGCTCGGGTTTGTTTGTTGTGGTTGGTTTTTGTTGGTTTTGAACCGTTCAGAGTTGCGAGATCTGCGATTGCTGCCTCACTTGCCCACTCCCCTCTTCCATCTTCTTGTCTTTGATAAGCACTATCACTACCAACATCGCCAATCATACTACCATTAATTTTGTTTAGTAGCCTTCTTTGTATCCCACTGCACAAGTGTTTTTCAATTGTGTTCCGCATGCAAGCGGCGTACCAGATATTAATTTTGGACAGGTACAGCTATTAATCGGTTGGAGTGCTTTAATAAATATTTCCGTTGTTTAGCTAAGAGACTGAAATACCTTGAATTTGACGAACACCGGAATGGGGTGACTATTTAGATAGAATATTGTTCTCAAAGGTAGACTTCAAAGTTTAATCCTTAGATCTCTGCACCAGGCTCTCTCTTTCTTTTTCAAACCTCATGTCGGTAATTATGAAATGTCCGATTCAGATTCAAGGCTTCACAATTTCCACGTTTAGAATTTTTTGCAGAAAGGAACTTATCAAGATTTCGACTAGTCTGATGTGATTTTTCGATTTTCCAATTGGAGCCCGATGTCAAAAACATCCAACATGAGTTCTTTATCTGTTCTTGATAACTGTTTGTATCAAATCGTGTTGCGAAAATTTGGATAGAATTTAAAACAACGAAACGGGTGCAAGACGTTTTGTAAGCAACAAACAGTTTGGTTAGTTAGGAAGTGCAATTGTTGGTGCCGTGCTAGAACAAACGTGTGTGGGCTGTGGGGGTAAACGGTGCTCCTGATATCCTGATAGCGATTGTGGCGTTGGGGAGACTAGCGGCATAAATGACATTTGCAGAGCCACACGCCACCGGTGCTAGAGACGGAGGGATGTTGCTTTGAGCTTTTTGCGTTGTCGCGTTGTTATTTAATGGTAGAATAACTTGGGAAAACTTCAATTTTCAAAGTGGTCTAGGTTTTAACGAAGCTTCTTTTCAAGAGGCATGGCAGATAATAGTCCAAAACTAAAATGATGCGTTTGTCTTAAGTAAACTAAGGGAATCCAAAGTAATGTTGCACAAAGGAGATCAAGTCAGAAATCGGATATTTCATATTTAATAGGTGAATAATAACCCACTACTAACTGACGCTTTAATAGCTCTGAAGTGAACTAACCTCTCTCGATCAATTTGCTCTCATAAGTGATAGCAGCAGTTGCTGCGGCTGCTTTGCGGTCCAATCCACTGATTTTCCGTTCTTTTTGCACAGTTTGTAGGCTCTTTTCATGGCCTTTAACCCTTTTTTTAGCTGGTTTTGCGAGCGTGACTCCCTAATCTCTTACACGTTCCCCTCCCCTCAGTCTTAATACTACACGAAGTTAGTGGCTCCACCAGCGCCTATTAATTGTTCTTTGTATGTGTTTACGTCTCGTTGCAGCCCTTGGTTCCACACCGTTGCAGGCAGAAGTCCATCCGCGGCGAAACCATTTCAATGATCTATCGTGAGGTATTTTGATAGCATTCACGCATCCACCTGCCCAACCACTCGATCGTAATGACAGTCCCCATCGAATTAAAGCAGCCGGTCCCTTTCCCCAGTTGCTCTCGAATTTTCTTCCTCTTTCCTTCCCCATTGTCGATCCACTTTGATCGATCTCGCGTTACTTTCAGCGGTCGTCTTGGTTTTTAATTTGATACTTGTGCTTCGAATTGTCCGTTCTCCATCTTCTCCCAACCTTCTCCTTCATCCCACGCCGCGATTTGAATTGTGAAGACGGTTATTTTTCTTTCCTTATTTCACACCACAACCTCCCACCTCCTTTCCCTCCGTTTCTTTCTTACCTTCTGTCCCTTATGCTACTTGCCCAAATGGGAGGGGGGGCATTGTTGTCAAAATCACCTTTTTGTTTAACTGGATTGTGGAGTTTAACTGAAGAAATTGAAGGATCCACTATAAGTAGTCTACTGGTTGAATAAGCAGTGTTTCTGTAATCAAAACAGAGAATGTGAGCGCTATAAACTGGTGCTTATGTGCGTGAACTTGCATCCTGTCGAGATCCTAACTGATACTATCAAGAGTTAGGACTTCGGGGAAATGAGATCTCCACTGCTGATAATGTGTGTACTGACTGCATTGCCAGAACTCTAGGATGCTCGTTGTCTTCACCTTCTTCATACCATTTCGGACAGCCTTCGTCTTATCGTGATTTTTGACATATCCAGAGTTTGTTCCCACGTCATATTGGTCAATGAGACCAGTTAAATGGGAGAGCGAGTAAAAGGCATTATAGGATGACTGGGAGAATCAAATTCCGGAAGGTAACTGTTGAGACGTTGAGACGGTCATTTTTTCGGGAGTGTGGATATCTTCAGCAGTATGACAAAGTGGGTGAGGTAAAGAGGGAACCTTTACGTCGCCTAAAATTCTTAATTGATATCAGCAAAGGATTCAATGTAAGCAATATTGGGAAGATTAGACGACCTGACGGCACTTTAAGAATTGCGAAATCTTATTTCAGAGAGTATGTGGCAAATATAATTTTACTAGGCCCCAAGACACCACTCTTATGTGCCCTAACTTCTATTTCACAGCACATTCCTGTGTTGGCGTATTACGCCTCAAATAACATGTGAAGAGAGAGTGGAGATTGAATTAGTCGTGCGTTTGTGAACATGCCTCACACTTTTGTAAAACTCGGGTACGAGGAAGGGGGAAGTTAAAGCTAAAAACAGTTACGACAGTTTACAAGCCGGGCTTGTCAAACACGGTTTGGAAATGTTCACTCGTACGTTCAGATTGTGGCCCACTTAAGTGGTCACTCATGGCCTGCATTTCCCCTTTTCTTGGGCGCCGATCACGACCCGTACTGCGCCCGGTTCGAATTAATAGAGCTGTGAGATCAGAGGCCGACCAAGGCTAGAGGGCGGCACCAACCCCAATAGCGCACTCAGATTGTTCAGTTAGACAGAATCCATCATAACGTGAAGACAAGTTGTCTACAGCTTTTCGAAAGTGCGCCATTTTCGGGCTGATCTCGTTTTGGACCATGTGGATAGGTGCTACCATCACGTTTGCCTTTTCATCCCAACACATTTCTTTTCTTGTGTTTAGCTAGGTGAAGCATAGAAAAGGTCTGCCTTAGATTTATGTTTGCCAGGTTGAAAAGGTCACAATACCTTTGTTTAAATGACCAGCAATAGCTGGATTTCATGCAACCAAAAAGATCTCATGGCTTAAACTTCTGAGCCCATTTGTTGAAGTCCCCTGAGGTAGCCTGACGACTGTTGATGTCCCAAGATGTGTTTGTACATCGAATGTAAATGCAAAAAGTGCCACAGGATATTGAACCAAGTGACCTCCACTTGACAGATCGCCATGTGAGTCGGAAAATGAGAGCTTATTTTGTGCTCCCGAAATGCATAACTACTTCCCTTTGGAAAGGAAGCGTAAAATCAAAGGTGGAAGTCACCTCAGATTTCACTCCTGATCATATTTGCTGCCGATACCATAGGGTTCTTCTCTTTTCACCAAAAGGCACTTTTAAAGCAATAATGGTAAATCACACTAATTCAACTTAGTCCTTAAAAGTTCAGAAAACTAGCATTTTCTCAAAAAAATGAAGTGATGTATTCATCAGCGAAACAGGTCGTTGACAAAGTCATTAAATGAGAGTACACATACTCTCCTGTTGGATTATAGACGATCTAGAATTCTGTAGTGAGTACTCATTTGGTTCATTGAAGAATCTATTTTGATGAAAGTAAAATAATTTGATTTTAACCTCGAAAAACAGCAGTGGCCATGTCAAGACTCGTCAGAGGAAACACAGGCAGCATAAACCTCTGAAGAATTCTGCAGTGAAAATAGATGATTCATTTACATTCCAACAAGAGTGGAGTAAAGAAGTATAATGCAACAGAAAGTAGCGGTCGTCTGCGAAGAGAACTCGTACCTTATTACTTTCTCCAGAAATCCACAACCATTTTTTTCCTTTTCTTGACGGCGTTAAGCTACCAAAATACATGCTAGTTTTCATTTGTGTAAAAGCAAATCAAATGAGAATGTAACTGTAAAAATGCCACAGCAAGATGGAATAAAGTCAAGAACCATCAATTACAAACAGTGGTAATATCAAAGGAATCCGACGGAGGAAATAAAATTTGAGTTAACGAAACCTAAAGGGTAAAACGTTGAAAGTGATCGGTGGGATGAAGCTCACATCACACAACAGCGTCTCCCCTTCCTAGATAGCATTTAGACCACACCGGCATAGAGGTCCTCCAATGCCAGCCCGTAGGGGTAGCCAACGGGATCTACGAAGAGCTGTTTTTTGACACAGGCTGTCGGCTTGGTGAGCGTCGTAGTGCCCACCTGGCGTGCCAGCTTATCATTCTCAAAGATGGTCAGTAGATTGCAGAAGAAGCCCTCTGCGAACTCCACAGCTACGCATTTGGGGTCGATGGCACAGGCGAATTTGCAGTTCTCCAGGCTGAATGCCAAGTTGTTCAGACTGCAAGGTAGGTGTTCAGATTCACGCCTATCTCTATCTCGATTTAGATATACAGAAATGTCTTCAGTCAGTGAGTGAGAGTTATCACATTTTCTTGATTACCACTGGGTCTGGGGAACGGGATCGCTCTGTTGGTTCATTTTTGTCCGAGTTCTGAGTGCATCGCTATCGCATTAGGAGACCAAATAGGAAGTACCCACTCAATCTTGAGACTATAAGTGTTCAGAAAGAGGTGTAAACCGACAAAAAACATAACAGTAGCTAGTGATGCAAATCACCACACAAAAGTCGAAAAATGGGAGTTAAATTAAAAGATTAAAAATTCAGAATATTGGATGATTTAGCAATCCCGTAAAGTTACGAAACACTTATAAAAGTTTAAAAATAAAAGGATCCAGTGAAGGATCAAACCACTAAAAATACAAAACAAGTTTGGAGCAAAGAGGTGCAATCCACAAGAATATGGACAGAGCCTCACAGTGGAGACAAAAACAAGTAGAAATAATGAATGGCGTCCGAGGGACAAACTATTTCAAAGCACGCAAAATAAGAGAAGGTACTGCCTTTCTGTTCCAAAATAGCACACAAATATGGTTTGTGGTTCCCATTTAAACGTGCTTGATACCGTAAATTTAGGATTTTACCTTTTATGCAAAAAGTGGTGTTTCAGTGTCAATCACTGTAGATGGTACATCTGCACTACTATTCGTATAAAAAGAACGATGATGTTTGGCGAGAGGACAGAAATAGCAGCCGTCAGGAAAGCAGAACATCACAAAAATGGCCTTTGTATTGAAAGGCTAGTTGAGCAAAGGAAGAAATCATTGATGGTTATCGCCAAACTGCCGCTCCAATACCTCACCTCACAAATCTAAGACATCATCCTACCGCCACAAGGCTATGCCTTGTAGCTGTTGTTCACTACGGGAATTGTTAACTCACTCAAGAAGGTGGAGAGGGAGGAGGCTATTATCTCATGCGCCACCAACCGAAATATGTCTTCAGGCTAGTCGACTACCTTTTAAAAACTGTGAAAAACACTATTTCACCAGCCCTCTTCAGGCGTCTTCACCACCAATGAATGTAAAAATGTCCATCTTAATACAGAAAAGCAGCACCGATTAGACACATTCGACTTGAGTAAATACGTCGCTTCTACTTACTTGCAATTAACGCACGAAACGAAACCAGAAAGGTCATGTATGACGCTTAAGTAAAAAAGGTATTTTAAATATTTCTGCAAATTGACATAGTTGTTCGTTATGTGCAATTTACTAAAAAAACTTTCTTTTTTGTTCATTTACCTTTACTAAAATTATTCTTCAATTGTCACCGTTCGGAGGTGATTTGTCTCAGTAGGTGAAGGCTAACTCAAATCAATGGTGTAGCATTAAACAATAAAATCCTCTCTCTTGGGGATTTATGTTCCTTTATATTCATAAGCAAATTGCAGCCTTTCCCGAGAATCATATTTTGCGGCTATGATGCCGCACTTGAAAAGCAACTGATGGGATGAGCTCTTTGTTATTAGAAGTAGGCAAGTGAAAGACATACTTGGAGTAGACATTGCGTTGTCCCGACTCCGAAAAGTAATACTTCTCGCGACAGGGTTCAAGTGTGCCCGTCTGAACGTAGAATAATTTGGGATTGTAGCACTGTTTGCCAACATCTGAATGCGCGCTTATTATGGTCCTGGCGCGTTCCGGGATTCCTGTCTAAGAAACCCACAAAATACGTTTCATCTGTAGCCTTACTTTCAAAGAATCATGAGCATTCGACTGAAGGGAAAACCTTGTAATCTGTTTCATTTTCTAACGTCTAAATCGTTGTTCGATGTTTGTATGAGGGAATTGTTCACAATTTACGAACATTTTAGCACTGTGAAATCGATTAGCAAGCAGAAATATCAGCTGTCAGATATTAAAAAATGACCAAATTGTTTGCTTCATAACCATGGTACTGGAAGATTTAGGTTGATCGTCAAAAGCCATAATTTTAACGAAATTTCTGCACTTTTAAACCAACCAACAAACTTGTTTGGTTTGAAAAATTCAAATGGTTTTTCACGATGTTAATAGAAGGATTTACCTGTGACCATCCTTGCGCCAAGCGCCAGTCATCACAAGGACCAACATCTCGTTCCTCCATTGACTTAACTTCTGGAAAACACTTCGCTTTTACACGCTTTTTACCAACGGTTGCCAAACACTGGGGGCCTATAGAGCTACCACTGGATTAAGTAGAGAATAAATAGATAGCTACCAACTTTAAGCACTTACATTTGCTCGCAATCACCATAGTATCTTCCTCCCACGAAGAAGGGTATTATACATCGACCCGCTTGACTATTACGCACAAAACGTGTATGCGTTTTCAGAGTCTGAAAATGAGGGAGAGAATGTCGCCTACATCACCAACTCGAATGTCGTCTTGTGGGAGGACAGTGGCACAAGCGCCACTCGTCCAGTCAGCAGGAGTGGGGCAGGCGCAAACGCGTTTTCGGGTTCGTGTGCAGGTGGAAAATTCACAGGGCTCCCACTCACCCCACTCACACCACTCTCCCATCTCCCTGCGCGGTTCACAGGTCTCCAATTGCAGATAGGAGGAGGACCAAAGCCCCTCGTTGTCAATGTCAACGGCATCCAGCAGAGCAAAATGAAAGGCTAAGAGCGCTACCCAAACTCTTGCAGGAGGCATTTTTTGCAAACAATACTCTCGAATATTGCTCGGGTAAGTACTGTGGAGTTTGGAAATCGATAAATCAATTGGGCAAATCGATCGATTAAACTGGCTGCATAAAAACGCTGCTAAAGTTGCCTGGTTGCTCAAATAATCAAACAGGCTAAAGTGGAATTATGCAAACGTATAATTTTATCCAAAGAATTAGGTCAAAAATAAATTACGCATAAAATGAACGAAAATTACTAGATACTGGTGGTGATTCAGTAAAATTTACACCATATTAGAAAAGAAGGAGCTACTGAGATTTCGGCGCTTCAAAGCGGTATGTAAGAGTCGCTATGTAGGAATGACATATAGAAAGCTCCCACACCACTTCATATGGATTTGGATTAAGCCAACACTGAAAAAAAACTTTCCATCCAAATACATTTTAGGCGTTGATGGAGGGAACACCGCACATTTTTTTGGAGCAGACTTACCCTATTTAATGAATCTCAACAAGTAGTCAAGGCTTCTTCAAATACATCGATTTATCGCTATTTCTTTACCGTCGAATAATAATGCAAACCTATACCTGGAGTTATGAAAAATACCTTCAGTGGAAATAAGTGAAATGTTTTTGAAAACACAGACCTTTGAGTCTACGGTAACATTATAAAATCTTCCGAAATCAACCACCAAACTTCTGATCATTTGGAGGCACTTGAAATTGGTCACACCTATCACTGTAACCAAGGAAATAGTGTAAAACACAGATCTCAAAGAGGGCACCAGGTTTCAATAACATGCTTAGAATTTAGCAATTTTTGAAGTATCTTAATACACTCCCCCATCCCAACATTAAGGCAGGCCGAACAGCCAATCCAACTCGAAATAACACGGCCCAGTCCACCCACCTTTCCACACTGCAAAACTGAAAGGATAAAAGGGTGTATTTCAAGTAATCATACAACTACGTACATGCGTCAGGAGGTTCGAACACACTAAAAACACTGATTACCATTAAATAACAGGTGGATAGACACTATTCTGCGTCACTGTTGTTGCTAACCTTCGCCACTGCTGTCGCGTTGGTGGAGGTGTTTGCTGCCTTTCCTGACGCCGGATCCACCTTCTTTGGTGGTCGGCCCCTCCGTTTTGGTGTTGCAGCTGCATTGCTACCGGCTACTGCGCTGTCGATGGGCACCACAACGACAACAGGAGAGGCGCGTTTGAGACTGGCACGACGTCGTAGAGAGACACGTTTGGAAGGCGGAGGAGAGGGAGATCGATTGGGCGGAGGACGAGCAGAGGTAGGGTCACAGGTGGGACACTCCCAGTTACCCTCGGGGATACCACGCAGACCTACGCAGTAGGCGTGATAACCACGGTCACAGCGGTCGCAAAACATCATCTGTCCCTCGTCTCCAGTGTCCTCGCATTCCACGCACTGCTTGCACTCCATGCAAGACCATGCATATCTAAAACAGTTTAAATTGGGGACGTTATGCCATGAATTTTCTCTGCATCCAATAGTAATGCTACTAGTACCCAGAGCGTTTATAATAAAACTGCTTTAAGACACCGCGTAAATAGTGCCACATGACCGACGAATCTCGTAGTTTGAGAGCTGGCAGTGGGGCCTCAGTCTGTCAGTACGGTGTAGTGTAGTGTTCTGGAACACTTTCCCATCATTTAAGATTCTCATGAAGCGTTGGTAGAACCTGATAAACAGGATTCAGGATTATTTGCTCTACAACCTCAGTTCAACTCGGCGCCCAAGGTCCAAAATCTGCCTGTAAAATGTGTGCAGCATAGGAAAAAGATTGAATAGCGGATCAAACTGCACAGATATGGTTTAAGTAAATCACTTAATTTTGGCAATGAATCATTTATAGGGAGATACAAAAGAATTACGCGTTGCTATTAATTGGAAAAAAACCGGGGATTAATGTGAAAATAACAACTTTCAGCCATGCTTCAATTGATTTACACCTACATTAACCGAGAAGGAAAAGTTGCATGGCATGGATTAATAGACAATGACGATCTACAAAAAGCTATCAATGCATTCTTTGTGTCTTTAGCCCACCCTACAAAAACACGCACCATGCATTTTTGATCGTTAGCTGCTTGACTTTTGGAGAAAAAATGGCTTCCCCACCGCAATATTTATTGAACAAAAACATCAGTGACGATTGCCGCCAAACAATCCACCGATCCAAGGCTTCAATTCACAGGTCTAAGATACGCATCACTTCATTCTCGCAAGGCCGACTTGTAGATGCGCGTGCATATGTGGTGTACTCCAAACGCTGTTGTTTGCTACGCGAATTGTTCACTCTCTGCAGATTAAACAACGATTACGACTGAGATCTACTTTACAACCAACCCGAAGGGAGGTGGAAAAACCCGGTCTTCTTGAGGTATGGCTAGGACCCTAATCACGCAGTTGATAGCAAGAAGCTCCCTTTATGGCCTTACGAGACAGCTAAGAACCACATTCTGCGTATCACAACAAACAATTGTAGAAAGGCACCACCTCGACGTTTAAAATGGTGAGGGAGAGGGTGGAGAAGGAGGGAGATGCTACTTCATTTCATCCCCCGTATTTGCCTGATAGCATTTCCCCAAGCGACCATTACCACCCTTTTCTCTGCACAGGCAATCATGTGAACACTTTTGAAATGTGTAGCTGGGAGATAAACCTGAGGCGCTTTTGCGTTTCCAGTGTGATTCGCAACGAACTTGATCTCGTTGATAAGAGATGCTGAATTATGAACAGGAGTGCTGATCATTTTAACGCATGACAACATTGAAGGGCCCTTCTACATATATCTCATTTTTATAATAAAAACCACACCAATTTACTTAATTTCTTTTTATTTAAATAATTTTTAGGAAGTCCATCAAAATCTACTAGACACATTTGGGTCGATCTGTCTGGTTCAAAGTGAGGGCTTTTACGATGTCATCACCTCTAAATCGACAAATGGATAAACTATAACAATTGAGGATAAAATCACACGGACTTAGGGTTAAAATCAGAAGTTTCAAAAATAACGATGTAAAATAATTCGCATCAATTCATCACGCGATGCAAAGTTGTTTCAGAAACCACGTGTTAAACGAACAATTAAGTAGATCAGAAGGACCTATCACCAAACCCGCAGAGCTGTGCTAAAAAGGATATTTGGAATGGTAAACATCGCAACGGAGGAAAACTAGGGAATGAACCGATAGAGTCTTTTCTACCCCCAAAGCCAGTTAAATCAGTCATTTCATAGTTGATGATAAAAAGGATTGGACTTTTGGGACAAGCAGCATTTGGAAAAGAAAATTACATGCTGAGGAAAAAGCAGGTAGAAATAGCTTTAATAGCCATTTTTCTTCGATAAGAAAAAAAGGATGTAAAAAGGAAAGACGACTTCAAATAAAAGCTGCGATGCTACTTCAGGAAAAGAATTCAGAACAACAAGATTCGGCTGTTTAGTGACCTAGTGAATACCGATTTCCACTCCCTTGTTCATAGAGTTGAATCAGAAATGGTGTGATTTAACAGGAACCGGGACGTTCAAAAACTGCAAAAACGCATTCATATTCAACCAATTGCTGTATGAATTCAATAGTTCCAAACTATCCCAACCAATCCAAATACTAGTCATCACCTAATGATGACAAACAGTATTTTTCATTTTAGGTCGCTCAAGATGAATTATGCGTGGGTCTATGGTTTGAGTGAGACGTTTAGAAGAAGCAAATTCGCATCCTCATTCCACAATGTAGAAGAGGAGGGAGAGCAAAATCGCACTGAGGATCAAAAGAAGAATAGAAAAAAACTCACGTTCTCACAACATCCACCATGTGCTCTGGCAACTCGAGACACCGCGGATGACCCTGTCTGGTGCACTGAGAACAGCGCAATGGATCGGCGGCTGGTCGACCGCAGACAGTACAGGGAGGACCCTTCTCCTCCACTTCGGCCTCCTCCTCCTCGGGTTGATCAACCTTTGCATCGATGACCTCATCTTCATCCTCCTCTCTTTTTGTTTTCTTTACTGCCGGTCCCTCACTGTCTTTGGGCGCAGTGCATTCGAGAGTGGCGGCCGACTCTGGTTTGGTAGTTGAACTGGCATAAAAAACATGGTAAAAAGGGTACTTTAGAGGCGTATTAAATGCTAAAAACTTAATCTTGTTATGATTTATATTGCACAACAGCCGAGTGAGAAAGAGATTTTACGGAATTTCAGCTATGAAACCAAATTGCTTAAAATAATAAAGACAGGAACAATTTATAAAATCGTTTGATTTAAATGCACATGAATATGGTTTCCCATGGACAAGGCTTACTTTTCACTATAGGTCTATTTTTAATGAGTGAAATTAACCTGAACCAACAAGTCAAGAGTTTGATTGACACTATGAAGGCGCATTCAGAAACGGCGAATGGCCTATGCCATCCATGGAAACTGCGCCACGAGGACGGCAACAGGAGATGAGGGCTCCACTTGAAAGTGAACAGAGGCCAAACCAAGATTGCTATGCTAATTAAAGGAATGAATAAATCCCCTGAAATTCCTACCAATACGAATGCAATGACCCACTTGATACAAAAAGCGACTAAGTAGAATGAAGCAGTGGTGTCTACCTCCATCCAGCTGACTGACTAGCCATGGCCATTCCTCAAGACGGTAAAGTTTTTCTTTGAGTTTCATCGAGCATCTAGATAAATGAATCTCAGCCATAAGTGTTGGTTGACCTGCAGCAAGCAAAGAATTGACAGTAAACAACTCTGTTTTCAATATACGACACATCTGTACAGCATAGTCATGTGGGGATTAAGCGGTGAGCGATTTAGAAATGTGGAGTGGGTAGTGGGGTTAGCTCAACGAATGATGCAATACAACAACCATTTACTAACAAGAGTTGGCCAGTCGGCGGCCAACAAAGGACAGTGCATGGTACATTTTTCTGATTTTTAGAGATCAATCATCTCTTAATGCACGAAAGGTGAGACTCGTCTGCTTGGCTTCAACCACAGCTTTCTCAGCTGATTTAGGTTTCATCACTTATGTTTCCCATAACCCAAGTTCTTGGCACGCTAATCTAAAAAGTAATTTTGATCAACAGCCACACCTAATTTTTCATCACGAAGAACACAGATTCCTTCTTAGCGTAACGAAGCATCTGTCTTTGAGAGACTCATCAGTGAGAACAAAAAAAATTGCATGCCGGAAATTCACCAGAGGCCATACGCACTGTATGAGTAGCTTCAGCAAACTTGGGAACAAGCAAAACTGGGCTCATAAGGAGGACAAGATTGAACATCATCTACCAGGTTCAACTGATGTTGTATGATAAGGGTTGTCAAAAATAATGAGCTACGAGTCAATAAACTGAGGAGCTAACCTGACATCTAGGTTACAGAAACATACAAAATGCACTTGTTAATCAAATAAATAGTCAATTCAGACAAACAAATAGTTAAAAACATGAACAAAGAGAACATGAAGCCATTTTATACAGATATGCTAAAATCGGAACGACACCCAAAGCGCCCATTGCACGCATGAGCACTTTCACATCCACATATACGCAATAGCAGGAAATAGGTAACCGATTGACCAATTAATAGCTTTGCAGAATGTTGTCGCATATCCATCCAGGATGGAAAACACTGAATAGCTAAAGTCTTGATGTCAGTAACGATCATGGAAGGTGGAGAATAAGTCGTGCACAACGCTAATTGATACGGCGCAACAAAACGCCTACGAGCGCAATTGTGAAAAGATGCGGTCAAAAGTACACACAGCGCACAAAAAGCTTACCTATTATCCAACTGATTTGCCTCCTGCAGTGTTCGTGAAGTCCCCTCATCTCCACCATCTTGCGGTCGAGGGATACCAGTCAGATTCCCGTATCTCAGCATCGTGGGAAGTGGCGGTGGAGGTCTAAGCGCACGCTTGCTTTGTAGATGCGGTGGCAGAGTGTACAGGGCCTTTGACAGCGGCATGTAGGCCAGTTCGGATGCAGAAAAGTCAACAAAGTGCTCGGTGAACTGTCCCGGAATCACGGCTACGGGGTAGAAACCGTTCTTATGTGGCGGCGGTTCTAGCAGACGGTAGGGCCACTGAGGGACATGAATTTGCATCGTTTGAAGGTCCCAATAGCACCGACGCTCCTTGTGACGTTCGGCGACCAACTGTCTATTGAAGTCAGAGGCTGATTCTAGAGCTCGCTTCCGAGCTAACTCGGCACGGGCCTCGCCCCGACCAATTCGAGCGGCCTCGTATTGGCGCTTTTGGTGATCAGCAAGGCGTTGGAACCGGCGCTGCCGGAAGAGATCGCTAACTACAACGTGAACTTCAGGAAAGTCGTTTCGAAGAAGGGACATCACTTCGTCACTAAGGAGGGCGGTAAGTCCAAGCTCTGCGCGACCAGAAGGAACAAGACCGGCTTCCTGAAGCCATGTACGTTCATAAGCGTCGCAAACACGACGCTGAAGCTCTGGATAACGCCGCTTGAAAGACTTGACCTACGGAAGCAGAAAACAACTTGTCAATACGGTTTGCAACAAGGTTATTAACTCGAGGGAAATATACAAACCTTTAAAAAGTCGGCTAGCAACTCCTGGATAACATAGTAGGTTGGTCCATTTTTAGTGTCTGGTGGCACTTCTTCGGGCCAAGCGTACTCAAAAAGCTGCTCAAGCGTTATATCCTCAGAAACGTCAGCAAAAGCGCTGACCCGAGAAAGCATGGTCTCAGGTTTGATGCGAGAATCACGCCTATAGCCCGACAGGCTTTGAGAGCCCAAAGACGTTCCCTATTTGGTGAAGAACTTATATAAACTATAAAATCGTACCGGAAGTGACAGTTCGGAGTCAACATCATTTTTTCTGCTAGATGGTGTAAGAGGAAGTCCATCCAAGCTATCCTCCAGGCTAAATACTGTCTCCTCATCAAGGAGATCTTTAGGGGGAGCATGAAAACCATCCAACACGGACTTAGTCATTTTCCGATGTAAAAGCCGACAGTTAATACATCTATATAAACCAAACCACTATTGATTAACGCGCCGGTCCTACTGGCCGTAGTTTGTATAGCAAAGCAAATAGTCTTAGCGCTCAAACAGAAAACCTAGCAACTTTAGTATGTAGACCAATATATAAAAAATCTAACCAAAAATATTTTACAACTAATATAACTTCTAGCTACTAAATTATTTTTATGTTAAGCTAATCTTAAACAAAACTAATATAAGACTTGGTTTACTATCGCCCATACTAATACTCATTATCCAAAGAGTTGTTTGTGTTTTAAAATTTTACTGTACTATGCTGCAACACACTTTAAAACGTTTCTTAGATGATTGGTTGAAACTCTTCAACGGTAATATTTCCTGCAATGTCAAGCTTGTACAAAATAATTCCTACTCAACTGAAACAAATCCGTGATTCAACAGCAAATTATACCTTTTGCTAACAGAAAGAAGTGCATAAGAAAACCAGAGAATTGCCATGAATTTAGTTACTCCTATACAATATTGTTCAATTTGTTTAATGTGACTTTTAAATTGGCCATATTTCAATAGCATCAGCAAAGTTAAGGAGTTTAGGCACAAGACCAATCTGGTGTGTTGGAAATAGGAAGTATAGTGCAATCTAAGTCACGTTATGTTCTACACTCTATTAGCTGTGCGTTTGCAGTGATTGATTCACTGTGGCAGTCATAAAACCTGTCACAGTTAAAACAAACATTATGGTTCATGTAACCATGCCGCTGCCTCGTTCTGAGTTATTCTAGACTTCTCAGCCGCCTTGGTTTGCCTGTAGTTTTGTCGTCCTCATTAGGTGTGGAATCTACCATGGACTCCGACTTATCAGAGTTGACGCTAGAATTAGTAGAATCTGAATTGGGCTGATCGTTGTACTTCTGGACTACCTAACTACCATCTATTTTCGATCTTCCGGACCCATATTCTTAAGACCAATTTTCCTCTCTGGTTTGAGACAATTCTGCCGATAGCACAAGGCTTCTACTGAGTCTGTTCCATTTCCGTGAAATTGCACGAACTGACAGATTTAGCGGCACACTGAGGAATCTCGAGGGCGTTTTCAAACAGCATCATTGGATCGCGGTTGCTTTGGTGTAGTTGGAGGATGTCCACCAGCACTGGTTTTCTGCCACGTTGGTGGAATTCGTTTCATTGTCAGTTGCTGATGGAAATGGTAAGCCTTCTTGAGTAATAGTTTTCATACATGCTCTGAGAAGGAAATCCGCATACATGTTCTGAAATGGCCCACAGTAGCCAAAATGCCTGCGTTACCAGTCTTTAAAAGGCATTAGTTATAGTGTCTGTTGATATGGTCTTGAATTGACCTCGTGCAAACACGGCGCTCAGTTTTGGCAATCAGTGTATAAGACTAGCTAAGTGACTCATCTTCTCAATGCTTGAATGGTCGGAGTGTCTGCTTCAAGAATGCTAATCTTAGTGCAGAAGGAAAAAGGACTCGATAATCCATCAAATGTGGCCAAGAGGTTCTCCAGGCTTTTCATAGCATTCTGCCAACCTTTACTGAGCGTGCCACGACTGGCCTTTTCATAATAAACCCAGAAAATTAGGCTAATAAAACCGTGTGAAGCAAGATGGGTTGTTTCGTGGAATCGGTAATGACAGTACGAGGCGTCAGTCAGGGGTAGGTATCGCTTCAGCAGAATAAATTAAGCACTGCGCTTTTGGCTGCCATGAAAATAAGCACGTCGTGGACTGCTTCCCTGATGAGCCAATTCAATAAGAGTTTTTCCCAAGTGCTTTCGGAGGTCGTATTTGTGAAATTTGCTACAGCCTCATACTTTGGCAGGGCTTTCTTGTGTGTTCAAGCTTGGCCCTATTCGGCCGAACTAAGACGTTGAGAAATACAAAAGTAGGGTAGCCATCCTTCTCTAATGCTGCGTCGTTGATGGAAGTACATTTTTATGAAAAATGAAAGAGGGTTCTGCTTACCCAACAAAGTGAGGAATGAAATGAGAATAGTCCTGAAGAAATTGGCTGGACCTTTAGAAATGGGAAAAATCTATGAAAAGTAGGACTTATTAACTATTCTTGAATTTTATAAATCCCAGACAAATTTGAGGTACCGAAAATGCAGACCATTATGTTGGATGAATTGCTCCAACGTTCTTTCATCATGAATTTGCATGGTGGAGCATCAACAGCAAAATCCCTGCAAAGGAAATCTTCCTTTAAATTGACAGCGAAAAAATTCCACAAAAATCTGGAAGATAGTCGGTGAAACCTTCAGACTAGAATAGAGAAGGTGATGGAATATCCGGAAGGGAGTACTAACCATGGAAACCTCTCGAAATATCTTCAAGCGAAACCTGCAGGTGGGTATCTTTCAATTCAGAACCAGAGAGGAAACGCAAACCGCGGATTTGATGAAGAATAGCCTCTGCAACAATTTTGTTGCGAAAAGAAATTGGCGGGTATAATATAATAATACCTATCCCCACTGGTGAATCCAATTCTTCCCTAAGGAAGTGGACCAAAAGTAAGTGAAATAAATCAGCTTTTTACCAGTACTGTGGTACCTTTCAGTTCCAGTTACATCGGCTTAATCTTCACTCCACCAATTGCCTTGGAACAACGATGCAGCGAATTGCAGATATCCGACTGAAGATCAGTAGACATTGGAGAGATAGAAATGTTTAACTACTTTGTGCACTATAGACCGATGGTCGACTGAACACAATCATTGACCAAAATCTGGCAATTACTGGGCTGGAGGTAATTTGGCTAGAAGTTGACGGTCAATGAGTATCCCTTCTTAATTCTCGCATAAGTGTCAGAGCATCTGCTAGCTAGAGCGGGTGTAAAATGATCAGTATATTCAAAGAAAATAAGGGATTTAACATCATTTGTACCAATATTGAGAGATGGTTTGCATTCATCCTCAGTCGTATTAGTCCACATTATGTAGTCGGTGGATCATCAAGGTTAAAAGCAATTGCAAGATGTTTAAGTCAGAACTTAGGGCTTCTTTGTAAGCAGATGTCAGTGAAGCGAAGGTCTTTAAACTTGCTGTGGGCTACGAAATGACACTTGGGATTTCGAAACCTACGGGAGGGGGGACTAGAATATCCCTATATACATTACTTATGGTTTTTCAACAGACTTGTGGCATCTAGATCCGCCGTTTAGTTGTCATCGCATGTTGCATTACGTTTGGGTACGATTTTGAGCTTTCACTTCAGCCGTTATCCGACCTGTTTGGAGGTGTTGCGTCCACTCATTGGTTTGACCCTCACGCCAGCTTTCAAATCCTAATACAGTTAACGTAGAGTTCAAACGGCATGAAAAAAGAAACATAGAATTAGTAGGAGCTGGTGTTGTAGATTTGAAGGAATTATTTTTGCAATTATTTGGTCAAGGAGTTGGCTGCGGTTAATTATTAGAGTGTCTACGAGCTACTTCAGGCCAAACTTGAAGTATGAATTATCTAATGTCGAGCATTTGCAACTTAGCCCGTTGAGATACCTCCAGGTAAACTGTTGGGTAGGAGGCAAAACACTTGTCTCCAGGCTTCTAGAAGGAAAAGGTAGTGGAAGATCTGGACATGTTCAATTATTTTTAAGCACATAAGCATCTTTCTCGATTTTGGAGAGGCGGGGCACTTGACTCTCTGCCTTCAGATGCTTACGAGTTGAGCTTTGAATGTAGAAACTTTGCGGTTAACATTCAGTACCTTCTGCTCACACATAAACGTTGCGGACTTTGAGTTGAGAGGATTCTTTGCATAGAGTTGTTGCAAAGTAAGGGATATTCAAATTTTAAACCAGCGTAACGAATTGGAAATGAAAACTCACTGCAACGGAGATGGAAATGTACCGTGCATTTTGGCAATCACCACCTATTATATCCATAATTTCTTCACTTCACACATCTTGATTTATTTTAATGAGATATCATGCTGTGAGAAAACAATGTTTTTTTTGGTAAAACGCTTAAATACCGGGTTTTCGGTCTACGAAGGGTGTTTCTCCGTTCGGTCCTACAGCTTCTCGGTCCTGCCATGCTTCCATATGAAGTCTAAATTCATTGCTCGTGTGGCTAGTTGTTGCAACATGAGAGAAGACTCTTTGCATTGTAATGCGACATTTAAAACCTCACTAGTAATTGAGTGACTAAAATCTCCTGAAAATAATAGAGAAGGTAAATTTTGATGGAGACTAACTCAAATATGGGTTTGCTTTAAATGAAGCAATCGCAGAGCCCCAAGGTATCACTGAAGCTGTAATAAGTAGTATCGGTATGGGGAAAAGGTTCATAACTAACACCGAGAATAGCTGACAGTCTGTGAATGTGGTTAACAGACTATGCCCCTGAGGCTGGCACTCTCGTATAATCGAATGTACATGGAAGACAAAGATGCTTCTGTTGTATGCAACGCTTCTTCTTTGGAGCGTCGACCCTTGCGTTGCTTATGCTCACTATTTGTAGATAGGTCATTACAACACAAGGTAGTTTGTTGGGGACTACCCACTGTCTAGTGGGTAGTTCGGCGATTTTTATGGAGGTGTGAATATAGTTAAAAGCAATGAGTTGATTGCATTTCAAGTAATCCCCTTTCCCACTTCCTTGTTACCTCCATTGCTAGGGTTTGCTGGTTTTGTGCAGTTTAATACCAGACTGTTCTCTTTGACAAGTGCATTAGTAATGCCAATCACCATTTGTAGGACAAATGGCCGAAAAGCAGATCTATTTAACAGAATGCCTTAATGTAAAGTAACTTAACGGAGCTAAGAATTAGCATTTGTTTTCTCTTTACCGCTTCCTTCTTACCTTAATGCAGCTCGGCCGTCGACCACTCGCTCAACTTGGGAGATTCTTTGGCAAGGTTAGCGATACCAATGACGAGGAGGATGCTGGCGATGCCACAACACTTTATTAACGTGCAAATAGTGTTTGCAGCAAAAGCAGCGTGCGCTTTGCCGCATTCATTTCCAACTGATCGGTCGTCTGTGATGATACTCAACACTGCCTATCTACTTGCCCGATAATTTCTGCACAAAAATGTACATTCCTACTAAGAAATAGGCTAATTCCCCAACACCAATCATGTTTAAATAATACAAATCAACGATCAATTTTAGTCAATTTTTTAACCGACTACAACCCCATGATTAGGCAGGTGGCTGGGGCGGTGATGATCCTGCGTCAATTGTTCATATCTCTGTGCTTAAAACCCAAAGTTATTAATAAAAATGGACTTTTTAGACAAAAGTCATTGAATGTGTAAAGTGTCCTGACAGTGTGAAACAAGCTAATAGGCTTACAAACTGTTTTATAATTTTTTACGATAATGTTGCTTAAACAATAGTCAAATGAGTTTCGAGATGTAAAAAAATGTAAAACTTTGCTTAAAATTACCTAAAAATTTGCCTAAATTGGTGAGGACGATGAAACATTTCCCAATATTCTATGGCAATGCGGTTTTAACTAAGGAATATTTATACTTACTGAAGACTGTATTCCGCAGGAGGTAAGTGATACTCTATTGCATCTGCTTGAACAGAAGCTGGCTAAAGAGTCGCCAGCTTCTTTTCTTGGTGTAAGGAAGAGAAATCATCATCTGCTCCTTCAAAGAGATTCCACCTATTTTGAAAGTTAAAAAATGAGGGAGGAAAGAGTGTGATAAATAACTTTCATCTCCTTAACCAATTGTCTTTTAGTTTTGTGTAAAATCTGTACAAAATATGTGACAGGGTCGCTTCTAGGAGAATCAACAAACTGCGACTCAATTATGACAGAGATGTATCGAGAGCATAAAAAATCTCGGTTGGTCATTATTTGGGCTTATTTTCTTTCGCAGAGTCAATTATGGGTAAAATCAGCGCGTTCGAGGACGACGTGACTGATGGAGATCGCTCCGGATGTCAGCTGACTACAGTCACAACTACGAGGACTGTGGGAAGAAGAATTTAAGATCTCTAGTCAAAGAAGTCATAAGGAAGCAAAATATGAGTGTTAATCCGTATTATCATATATTGGTTACAAATCTCAGGACAGTTAGGCATGCCAAGCAGCTGTGTACGTGAGAGTCGACTGAGGAGCAGGAGGACAAACCCTTGGACCCAGGTTCTCGCCACTGCACAAGCAGGGGATATATTTCGCTTCGATATGCTTAAAGAAGGAAGAGAAGGAAATCATTACAATTACATGCCACAAACAACATATTTTTTAAACTGAGCAAGAGTCGATTTGAAGAGACTGTTGCGAAAACGGAATGTTTTTATTTTCATATGCACAATAATAAAGTACACGACTCAAAAGAGATAAATCATTTAGATTAGTCACTAGATGGTCTACATGTGGGTGCTGGCACGGTTATTCATTTTTAAAATTATTTGCATACAAAACAGACGGACGGGGCTTGGCTACACGTGAGAACAGCACAGCAGTTCCTACTCATTACCACATTATGCAATAGCTAAAAGCCATTTTATGAGCCATTAAAAACACCCTCTTTCACATTTGCTTTACAGTCAGCCGACTTTGTGAATACATTTGTATTCTTCCATTTGTACATTTAACAGCACAAGCTCTTGAGTGTCCGCTGTTCCGGTTTTCTTTTTTGTGTTATGAAGTTCTTCTCTGTAGATGCCTTGGTTCCTTAGTTATTCTCTACGTTTCTCCTCCGCATGGGTAGGCCTTATAACGCCTTCTCTTGATGAACTGAGGGTAGCAGTAAGTGGATTTAGCAAAGAAATGCACAAAATTTATACTTAGATGTTGAAGTTTAGTGCATCACAGTGGAAGCGGCATCGAGGCCGTATTCCCTCTTGGCGACAGCTACAATTCTGGGCCAATTAATAATTAAAGCTACACCGTACTTGAACGATTTGAAAATGTCTAGCAAAGATCTACAAAGATATGCGAAAATACGTGGACCTCACAAGCAAATGCTATCGCCTCCGAGATCCCAGCAGCTAAAAAGAACCCCATAAACGGCTGCAAAACAGTGAAATTGCAAAGTAGGGAGGGGTACTAGGTGCAGCTATTAATTGAATGAATTCACTTTAAATCTTAGGCTTTAGTGAATAGCTGTGCGTTTAATCACATAGCCCCAAGAAGAGAGGCTGACATATGACATGGTATAATTACACAACATCGATGTGTCGTGAACCATTCAGTCAGTGAGGCACTGCAAGCAGGATCTGCATGGATAACAAGCTAAAAACTAATTGCAATCACTAACATTATCGACATGAAAGTCTCGATCACTGGCTGATTGGTGAGCTCTCAAGCTTCAAATGCGTTTAATTTCCGGCCTAAAAAAGTGATGGCGAAGGACGTCAAGTACGGAAGTTGAACTAAAAGTACAAGGATCACGAGGAAATAATAGGGACGATAGTAGTAGTATATAAGGTGACACAATTCAGCAGTACACACCAAATCAGATAGACAGCTAGGAATGGAAACAATAAAGTGTCCATGCTCGTGCGTGTTAAAGCCCGAACCCACGGCTGAAATGCTACTCACTTCACAACCTGTGAAGAAGTGTGCATGCTCGACTGCGTTAAAGGTGGAATCCTCTACTGACGTTTTACATCCTCTACAACATATGAAGAAGTGTGTATGCTCAACTGTGCTGAAAACGGAACCCACAACTGAGGGTTTACTCACATCACAAGCTGTGAAGAAGTGCGCATGCTCGACTGTGATGAAGACCGAACCCACAATCGCGGGTCTACTCCCATCACAACAAGTGAAGAAGTGTACGTGCTCGACTGTGCTGAAGACAGAACCCACGAATGAGAGTTTACTTTCTTCACAACAGGTGACGAAGTGTACATGCTCGGCTGCGTTGAAAACAGAACCCACGACTGAGGGTTTACTCTCTTCACAACCTGTGAAGAAGTGTTCATGCTCAAATGAGGTTATACTTTCACCAAAGCCAGTGAAAAGGCCCCCAAATTCCATTGAGGATGAGGAGCTACTGGACGGCTTACAAGCACTTCTCAAGGTTTTTCTGGCTTTAAAATCGGTGTGAATGTTACTTGTGCTGATTATCTTTCGCAAAAAAAGACAAATGATTAAATACTGGATTTTGCAGGGAAGCTCACGTTACCGTAGTGACCATAGCGGGTCAGAGAGGAAAAGAAACAAGAGGAGTTGGGTACAGTGATTTCACTCTAAATTCAAAGCTCCAATCAATGGATATGCTAATAGACGAATATTCCTAAGAACAGCGATTGACAATTGACATGCAATCATTAGGAACCAACGACGTGTTTTGAACAGCTTAGTGACTGAATCCTTACAATCTAGTTTTGCAAGAGGATAAGATGGTAAATTCATTGTAATCTCTGACATTGTCATTCCCCTAAAAATGAGGTATAATCTTCAGTTGCCAGCTAAAGGGTGGTCTGTAAACTCCATCTGCATTATGGTGTCCGACTCCAAATAGTAATTATAGAGAGCGTCCAAAGCACCACTTAGAAAAAAGAAAGCTACACACGCAACAAAGCATTATACACCTTCCATCGTTGAGATCTTCCACGGTCACAGAAGTGTATGTGGTTTTGGGTACCTTCATGGTCTCACGGAGTTCTACCCCCATCTACAGCCTTTCAGCCCTACTGCTCCTCAGCAAAGATATGTAAGCGATACACTGTTTTTAAATCCCTGAATGAAAAAGTGGAATGGGGAAACTCTGCGCGACTTTTTAAGTCTTCTTTTGACAGTAGTGGATAAGGATTAAACACCAACTTTCATCGGTTCATGTCAGTTTAATTAAGCCTTTCCTTTTTCACAGTTTTCTGTTAGCAAGGGCCCTAAGTTTATCGTCCCAAACAAAAAAGTGCATTTTTGGAAAAAAATACCTTATTCATAGAAATCCGCTTTATTTATATCTTTGCTTAAAGATATTTAAATGACAGATTTGGGGATTTGCGGGTTACCCCTTTACTGTAGGTTTTGAGGCACCATCAGAGGCTTGTTTAACGTGGTAAGCACCTTAACTTGGCATGTGATGTATCCATAAGGCATTTTACCATTAAGGAAATATAACCACCGACTATCCGAAACATAACTGACTAAAAAACTTATTTACTTTTTAAATGTTTTCTAGTGAATTAGCTTAGGTTAAAAGAAGCGCCAATTTATCCGCTGGAATTCATTGTAAATCTTGCTTAAAAGCAGCGACGGAATAAGTCAAAATTCACTGAGTTTAGAAGTTGGGGTTAAGGAAATGGACCACTTTAATACCACAATTATCCTCAAGAAGTCAACTTCACATATCTGTTTTGACTTTGCTGAAGATCTCCTACTTCCGGAGGAGATAAGTAAATAGGCATCGAAACCCGCAAATTCACGGAGATCACGAGTTTTCTATGTTGATACACTCAAAGAAATGACAGAAGGGAAGATAGAGGAGGCAACTTCAATGATTACAGCGCCTACAGAGCTGCGTCATCAACGATAAGGAGAGAAAGCTAAAGTAGAATTAACTGGATCTTCAAATGGAAATGGAGACTGACGAGGATGGTTTACTGCATTTCCTTAAGCCATTTTTGACCTAAAATCAACATAAAATGTTAAAAGAGGAAAGGTGTTGCATAGCTTGAAGCATTGGCTTGAAAAAATTGTAATCACGAAAAGTACACAGCTAATAGCCTTTATGCGTGCCTGCATTGCAAGGCGTGGAAGGAAAAGCGTCGGTCATTTGTAAGTGAAATTTCTATCCATTTAGCTGTATTCTGTGATTTGTATTCGTTATACAATGTCCGCGACCATCCTGTTCCAACATCTAACTCACTGTTATCTAGCAAGCGGTTGTCCGAATAGGCCTCTCTATTGCGATACGAGGTAGTCTGCCTCGCATCACCGGGTTGAACCCCGATGCGAACAGGTCTGTAGCTTTTTAGCTAAATTTTTTCCAACATTTAGGGAAAGGCATGACACACGGTAGTAGAAATAGACAAGCTCACCCACAAAGGGTGCCAACGACTGATTTAATTCTGCATATGAATCGTTCGAAGACACTTAAAAGCACCTACAGACAAATGCTGCATCACATTAAGGAGGAAAAATAGTTCATTCTCTAAAAAAGCAAGGAGGAGGGACGAGATGCATGACCAGTTGGGGATCAGAGTGTTAAGAATGACCTGCTGTGATAATGCACATGGCTGGTAAACGGCACAAATAATCGGCTCCCTAATTACTCCACATTGCTCTTCAAAGGTGCATATCATCCTATCCCCATGTGACCATACTTTATGGGGTGTGTGTACAGTGTACCGCAAACGTTGAGCATCGTTTGACATTTTCCGTGGTACAAAAAAATCAGGTGAGTGTCATGATCGAGATCTACTTGCCGATGTGCATTATTCAAGTTCATACAATCCAATAGCAAACAAGAAAAACCAAGTTTCCTCTCGAGGCAGTCATTGTTGGGGAAGTCCCATTCTCACCATTGCGTGACACAGCAATATCTCATCTCACATGCCGCATACTAAAAATCTCATGCCATATTCTAAGTTTGGAATAAGACAGAGGACGAGAGAAAACCACGCTTCATCCAACCCTCCCCACCTCCTTGATGATGATTCCTCAGCTGATAAGCGACACTTCATCTTCACACAGGACAACCACTTGGTCACACACGATGCAGTCAGTTGGGAAGTAGATGTAAGTTGGGGACGGATTAGGCCAGAGGTAGATTGTCTGCTTCCACAGCCACAACACCAGCTTCTGCCTTACTGATTGATGACCACACATTTTGGAGGATACTGGTGATTGCAGCAAGGAAGCGAGTATTCATGAGACCCTCACCGTCATTCAACTTGTATTATCAAAATCATCGCACCTATTTGGCTAACTCGCAGCTCACCCAAACGCATTGTACCAGTCAAGGCAAATAAACAACATGGAGGAGGCAAGTGCCAAGAATGACGCCCAAGCGAAGATGTTGGCTATGTGACAGAAAAGTGGTCGTTTCGATTACTCTGCACTAGTTTGCTCATCTTCTGATTTTCCGACAACCCACATGCAAGTCAGTGACATGCAGCTTTCCTCCTGCGAAGTCCACCCAATGTCCTTCCATTTGTCTGCAAATCTGTCTGCCCTGCAGTACAGGCTTAGCACTCAAAAGGAGACATTAACAAGGAGGACCTGTCTCACGTCAGGCTGAGTGTTGGCATATGCATCCATCTGTGTGCTGCCAATTTCGCCTCAGTTGGCGATGCTTGTGAAGGCTATCAAGCCAGCAAATGAGCAGGTAGGTACTTTTTGCCGAAAACTAGTACTATTGATAAGGCAGCCAGCACGTGATTAGTGTGTGATAGAGGAAGGATTGCATATGATGGGATGAAGTACGAAGGTAGAGCTGAAAGTACTCGGTGCACGAAAATCACGCGCAACGACTGTAGACGATTAGGCGAGTATATAAGGTGACACAACTGAGCACACAAGTCAGTACTATCCAACGAATCGTGGTGGCTGGAGAGATGGAACCAGTGAATTTTGCCTGCCCGTTTATGTTCAAGGCGCAACCAATACCCATGCCTGAGTTTATACTTACACCACCACCACCACCACCTGTGCAAAAGTGCATATACTCAACTATGTTTTTCCCGGAACCCATGACTGAGGTTGTGCTCCCTACAAAGTGTGCAATGCAGTGTCCATGCCCGACTGTGCTGATGGCGGAACCGACGACAGAGGTTATATTCCCTCCACAACATATGAAGAAGT